AGAGAGAGAGAGAGAGAGAGATATCCATGAGCAGGGGAGAGGGGCAAAGGGAGAGAGAGAATCTTAAGCAGGCTCTGCATGGGGCTTGATTCCACAACTCTGGGATCATGACCTGAACCAAAATCAAGAGTCAGATGCTCAACCGACTGAGCCCTTAATGTTTTATTTTAAGGGGCAACCCAGGTGCCCCTTAATGTTTTATTTTACTAAAGAAACTTCCCTTTAGGAGTAGCCGGTTGTTTTTGGATTTCAGAGATGAAGATAGCCATTTGGGGCAGACATCCTGTCTATGCTCTGGGAATGTTGCACGAATGGGCTAAAGTTATAGGAATGGACAGTTGTGCATACAAGTGATCCCAGAGAAGGAAAAATTGGGAGGAGGCAGTAATGGGTGAGAGGGAGCCAGTTTTGAATAAATATAGATATTTTTACATAGCCATGATCTTGATTCTGGTTAGAGCTCTGCATGAATTCCTCTATACTTTCAGATATGTATAGCTTACAGGCTGCTAGGGAAAGAGGAAGTGTCCATTGGCATATAAAGGGGAGACCACCTGGGAAAAAGGGAATCATTACAGTAGTACCTTCTAGATCCATGCAACATATTGGGATTGATTGTGATAGTGTTGACACTTGTCTAGTGGTGGGGAAGGCAAGGGTTTCCCTAAGAAAGGGTCGCTATGAGGAAAGAAGAGTTAAGACTTATGCACTGGGAACAGTGTCTAATGTTGGGTGGTAAACAGTCAACTTGAGGCTATCTTGAAGCCCCAGAACCTGCTTCACTGGTGACTGAAATGTACAGAATCTTGTCACTGAAGAGCTACAAGGTTGGGCACCTAAGTCTGGTTTGCTACTTTGGTGTGGATCTGGGGTGAGTTGTCCTGCAGTGGAGTCAAACGCTTTAGTGTAGAGGTCTTGGATCAGATGACTTTTCTTTCCTGATTTGTTAGTGGCTCCAACCTCCACTTTAGTAAAGAATCCAGACCAAGAGACAGGGACCTCCAGAGTTAACACTGCATAGATGGGTCAGGTTTGGGAAGTAAGGGGAACAAAGATGGCGGGTGAGGACATTTTACTCTTCTCTCTTTTGCAGAAGTAGAAAAACAAACATCTTTTGATTTACATAACTAACCTCAAGACTTTTTTGGAAGATTACATCTGAAAGTTATTATAATTTGAACAGTAATAGAGTTTTATTTTTTGTGTTCTCAACCAGTGAAGAGGAACTGAGGACATTGAGTTTTGGGGGATTATTCCTCACTTGGCCTTTCTCTTTCAGATAGATGTTTTCATAGAGCTGAGGTCAGTAGGGGCTGTGGCCCCTCAGGAAGCTTAACAGAAAATAGGGTCTGAATTAGAAGGATGAAGTTCAGGTATGTAAGTTCACCTTATGCTCTTTGTCTTAGGCAGAAATAGATCATTTCCTAGCTATAGTGCCATTTTATTCCTCTTCCTTCACCTCCTGACATCTCTACAGTAGCCAGAGGCTAAGAGAATAGACAGATTCTGGATTCCCATCCTGGCTCCCCATTTATGAATGCATGACATTGGACAAGAGACTTAACCTTTCAGAGCCTCACCTTTCTCATTTATAAGATGGGCCAAATAGAAGTGCCCACCTTACAAGCTTTGGTTGAGTATTAAGTGCGTGTCTGGTTCCTAGTAGGCACTATGTGAATATCGGCTAAATAAATGGTTTATATTTAAAACCCTCTGGTTCTTCCATTTTAGGGCACATTAGAAAAACCTATAGGGCTCCTTAAAATCTGCAAATTCTTGGGCATAAGCCCATACTCCCTGAATTAGAATTGCTTGAGGTAGGATCTGATGGCAGAGATATTTTAAGAACTCCTTATATGAATTTCAAACAATCCTACAAAGTAAATATTACTCTTGTTCATTACAGGGTGGGAGATCCAGAGAAACTTAGACATTTTTTTTTTCTCAGATTACACATCAGATGAGAGGGAATTGTGGTATTGAAGTCTAAAAGTTTTTGAGTCCAAGTTTCTTCTTCCATTATATCACATAAGCCAGACAAACAATAGAGGAAGGAATTTGGAGAAAGAAAAGAGTAAGCATGAAAGAGAGGCATGAGACAAAAGTTAGAAATAAGGAGGGAGACAAGATGGCGGGCGATGTGGTAACATTATATGGAGCGAAGCAAAGAGAATTTTCCTTTCAAGGAGCAATCAAGAGCCGTTGGTGGTCATGTGGAAGAATTCAAAGTGACATTCACAAAGACAAATTTCTTCTTCAATATTTTGTTCAAGTTTGCCTTGCATCCATATATTGGTATAAGTGTGATTACCTGATGGCTTCTTTTCCTTGGAATTCTGGAGCTACAGGTTCGAAACAATCATCAGAAGGATGCTCAGGATCTATTTCTTTCTCAGCGACCTTATTATTAGTCCTTTGGTGTTGGAAACAAGACGAGTTCAGGAAAAATAATGGAGAGTAATGGCGTTCATTTCCACCTAATTCATCAAGAGGCAATACGATATTGGATCATTAACATTAGAACCAAGAGCAAAGAAGCCTTATTCAAAATAGTGCAGAGTGTCTTAGACTTAAGCATCATAGAGAAATTGTTTTCATTATAACTTCTTATTATTGAAAAGAAAACTGGTCATGAAGTAAACAATGAAAATTCAAAGGAAATAACGTATTATCACAAAAGCCAAATAGTACCATAGAACTTTCAATAAATATACACATACAAAGGCTTGAATAAAATGTGGTCCAAAATATATTTAGAATGAATGAAACCGAACACTTAGGGGGGAAGGCCTTAATGTGGCACATAAATTAACGGGAAACATGTTTGTGGACTTCAGAAATCCCTTGATCGCAACAATACGACTGGACGTGGTACTGAAGTCCCTATGGAATGTGTATGTAAAGTACAGGAAGAAATTATATTTGTTCGGGATAAATACACTGTCATTTTCCAAATGTAAAACACAGAAGTAGTATTTGTTGCTAAGGGCTTTCAGATATTAAACCAGAAGCGACAGAAAGATAGGAATATATAAAATAATTGCATAGAAGCGTAGAAGACAGGGTTAAATACAAAGTGGAAAGAACATAAAAAGTAAGATAAATAAGATTGTGCAAGAAAAGAAAGTGTTCTGATTCTAGCATGTGGGCAGGAAGTCTGCACTTGTGAAATTTTTGGTTGTTGGTAAGATAGAGAAAATTTAACTGGGTAATATTGTTCTGTAAATATGAACAACTGATCAAAAATTTTTCAGAATAAGGCAGAGAACGTCCTCTTTCATTTTTATTTTGTTACTTCCTTAAAGGATGGACATGTCACCTTGTGAAGTGGTCCTCCAAGAAGGAGAGGGAGTAGGTGAGAACCTGATTGTTCCAGACCTGGGGCCCTTTCTGGATGTTCAATTCACAATCTGCCCCACATTCTTGTAAGAACTACTTACTAAACACCTTCCACCACACGATAGATCGACACTTGCCAAAACCATGTGGGGAATTAATTTATTGCAGCTCATTTTGAAACAAGTCTTACATATCATTCTTTGAAAACACTTTCAGGGATTCTTGAAAAAAGTACCATTATTTAATCCCTGAATATTCATAATGTGTATTATTAAAAGCAGAAGACTAATTGCTTTCCCATGAAAATTCCTTCAAACTGCTAAAACTATGAAGCAGGAATAAAGAACTCATTCAGTTTGTGATAGGAAATATTTGTTATTCTTTACTTCTTTTTTTTTTAATTTTTAATGTTTATTTATTTTTGAGAGAGAGAGACAGAGTGTGAGCAGGGAGGGGCAGAGGGAGAGGGAGACACAGAATCCAAAGCAGGCTCCAGGCTCTGAGCTGTCAGCAGAGAGCCTGACACGGGGCTAGAACTCATGAACCACAAGATCATGATCTCAGCCGAAGTCGGATGCTTAACCGACTGAGCCGCCCAGGCACCCCTGTTATTCTTTACTTCTTTAAGTACATTTACATAACCTTAAGTAAAAACCTACAATGTGATCAACATGTGCAGAGGTCAAAGAAAAGCCACCTTTACTTACAGGGTAAGATTTTGTCAAAATATAATGCCAATGCCAGGTAGAAAAGCGCATCAAAAGCCAATACAGAAAAAGTTGCTATCAGTACATAGGAGTCTCCTGAAGGGTCAGGAAAAATTACACCGTTCATAGTACTATCCAAGTGGATAATCTAAGATTCAAGCAAAAACAGTAATTAATAAGTATTTAAATTAAACACAAAAATAATTCAGTGTGGCAGCAAGATTTATTATTTTATTAAACAGGTTTTTCAAGAAGCCCTTATAATGAAGTTATTGGTGAAACTATTTCTATCTGACAACAAAGGAATAGTGGAAGGAAATACCGATTTAAAAAAAAAATGTTATAAAAATAGGACATCTTCTTGTTTTCAAAAAGTCATTGCAATGTTGCAAAATATCTATTCTATGCAGCAAAAAGAACACAAGTTTTTGAAAGAATATGAAAAATTATTTGAAGCATCTTAGTTGGATAATGATAAGAGAACTTTTTCTAGTTATTACCGCAAATAAGATACGTTTATAATTTTGTCATGTGACAATAAGTATAATGTTCTAGATGTTGTTCTAAGGCTTTTTATAATATCTCATTTAGTCCTTATCATAACCTCATAAGGTAGGCCTTATTATTTTTTTAAATGTTTATTTATTTATTTTGAGAGAGAGAGGGAAAGAGGAAGGGGCTGAGAGAGAGGGGGAGAGAGATTCCCAAGCAGGCTGCACATTGTCAACGCAGAGCCTAACGTGGGACTCAAACTCACAAACCATGAGATCATGACCTGAACTGAAGTCAAAAGTCAGACGCTCAACTGGCTGAGCCACGCAGGTGCCCCTAGGCTGTGTTCTTTTTATGTGCATTTTACATATGGTGAAACTGAAGCACAGAGAAACTGAGTGGCTTAACCAAGCAAAGTCAAAATCACGTAGGAGTGGCAAAGCTGAATTCAACACATGAAGTCCAGCTCCCAAGCCCAGTTCCTCACACTGGACAATATAAACTCCACTTATGTAAAATGTTAACGTTTCACGACAAAGTTGAATTTATTCCGGAAATACAAGTCTGGGTTGACATTTGATGATCACTCTATGCAATTCAACATAAACCAGATTGAAGGAGAAAGTGAACTGGTTAGTAAAATAGGTGAGTAAAAAGCATTTGATACAATTCAATACCCACATATAATAAAGAAAGTCTCTTCGCAAACTGAGAAGATAAGCGATCTTCCTAAACCTGGCAAAATAGATGTACACATACCAATACCAAAAATCATCCTTTTTGTGAAATGTCGAAAGCTTTTCCTTTGCCTGCATTTCTATTCAACATTGTACTGGAGGTCCCAGTCTCCTCGATAAGGCAAGAAAAACAAGTAACTAGCATTAAAAACTGCAAAAGGAAAACAATAAACTATCATTATTTGTAGACAACATGATTATGCATAAGAAAATCCCAAGATAAAACCTAGAAAAATACTAGCTTTTAAAGTTTATTTATTTATTTATTTATTTATTTATTTATTTATTTATTTTTGAGAGAGAGAGAGAGAGAGAGAGAGAGAGCGAGCATGGGAGGGGCAGAGAGATGGAGACAGAGAATCCCAAGCAGACTTTGTGTTGTCAGCACAGAGCCCAATGTGAGGCTTGACCTCACGAACCCATGAGATCGTGACCTGAGCCAAAATCAGGAGTTGGCTGCTTAACCAACTGAGCCACCCAGGCGCTCTTAGTTTTAAAGAATATAGCAAGGAAACTGGATACAGTGCCAATATACAGAAATCAGTTGTATCTCTCTACATTTATGACAAACATTTAAAAATAAGAATCTAAACACAGATGCTATTTATAATGGCATCAAACGTATTAAAAAAGGGATATAAAATTTGGAATAAATAAAAAAATGTGCAAGGCTCTCAATACTTAAATTACAAAGAGCAAATGAATGTGAAGATATATTATTCATGATCAAAAGAAAAGTGTCAATTTCCCTGAAACTGATTGAAAAAATCAAACTGCATCCCAACGTGAGCAGCTTTGTACACACATACATATGCACACACATACGTATGCGTACACACATACATATCACTCAATAAGTTAATTCTAAAATTTACACCATTCAAAGAACCTAGAATAGAAAAGTCTCTCTTTGGAGAAGAAAATCAAGTGGTAAAACTGTTACCACCATATATCAAGACACATAAAGCAAAAACAATTTTAAGATAATGTAGCAACAGTTCAAGAGTAGACAGATGGGTTAATACAGGATTGGTTGAGCTCTGAAAAAGGAAATATAGCAGTCTGTTCAGGGAAAGGATGGTCTTTTCAACAAATTAAGTGGAAAAAATTGGATATTCATGTAGAAAAATTAATATTGCTTCTACATATAGATATCCAAAAGTTATTTTGAAATGGATTTTATATCCAAATGTAAAAGTAGAATCAATTGAGTTTCCAGAAAAGAACATGGGAGACAAACTTTAGGAAAAAAAAATTTTTAAGCTTATTTATTTATCTGGGGAGACAAAGCACATGTGCATATGTGCACTGGTGAGCTGGGTAGGAGCAGCGAGAGGGGACAGAGAGAGAATCCCAAGTAGGCTCCGTGCTGTCAGCTCAGAGCCGGATGCAGGGCTCGATCCCGTGAACCGAGAGATCATGACCTGAGCCAAAATCAAGAGTCAGAGGCTTAACTGACTGAGCCACCCGGGCACCCCTGGGAGAATATCTTTATGACCTTGGGGGAATGCAATGATTTCTTAAAGATACAAAAACACTCTACAGAAAAGAAAACGCTCATTAAAAGCACCATTGAGCAAGTAAAAATGTCAGCAACAAATTTCTCATAGCTCACGTATGTAAGAAATTCCTACAAAGCCAATAAGGAAAAGACTAAAAGTCAGTTAAAAAAAAAGTGGGGGGAAACCTGGATAGGCACTTTATAAAAGAGAAAACCCAAAATGCCACTAAGCATACGAAAAAGAATGAAATTTCATCAAACATCAGGAAAATGCAAATTAATACCCCAAGGATTTTTACTGCAGATCCACCAGAATGGCTAAAATTTGGCAGACTAATAATACCAAATGCTGGTAAAGATTCAGGACAACTGTAACTTCGAAACATCTGGTGCAAAAGTAAATTGTTTCAACCACTTTGGAAAAATACTTGGTAGTAGCTATGAAGATTAAGATATATGTATCCTAGATCCTACTATCCAACTCCGAGGTCTGTACCGAACAGAACTGAATGCCCATATTCACTAGGGTAGATGCATAAGGATTTTTTGCAGCGTTAATAGTAGTCAAAAACTGGAAAAGATTTCCAGGCAACACTAAAAACAGGCAACACTAAAAAATTAGGCTTAGGAACACACATTAGGTGGGGATGAGGAAGTGAAGACCACAAAACTTTTACCTTCAGGAGGAAAGAGTGGAGTTGTGGCATCCTTCTATTTCTTGATCTAGCTCATGAGCGTTTCGATACACTTAGTACCTATTTGTTACGCTCTGTATTTATAGTCTTGACAACTTTTCAGATTTGAGGTTTCCAAAAGCGGTTTACACAATTTTTAATAGAGAATGCCTTCATTATATAAAGTAAAAACGAATATCGTACGATTTCATTCGTATGTGGAATTTAAGGAACGCGACAGATGCGCATAGGGAAAGGGAAGGAAAAATAAGATAAAAACAGAGAGGGAGGCCAACCATAAGAGACTCTTAAATACAGAGAGCAATACACTTGCTGGGATGAGCACAGGGTGTCATATGTAAGTGATGAATCTCTGGGTTCTACTCCTGAAACCAATACTACACTGTGTGTGAACTCACTTGAATTTAAATAAATAATGAAAAAAAGAAAGGTGAATAGCTGCATATGAGAAACAAGAAGAAAATGCTTCCGAATGAAAATACACCTGAGAGGGGAAACTCTGTCTTATTCAAGATGTTCTTATTCAAACTTCCTTATGCGATGATGATTTTTCTACACTGGAATAATAACATTCTCAAGTCTAGTCTTAGGCTAGAATTGTTTAGCATAAATGCTCCTAATTTGAAAGAGCACTTAGGGGCGCCTGGTTGGCTCAGTTGGTTAAGCATCCGACTTTGGCTCAGGTTATGATCTCACAGCTCTTGGGTTTGAGCCCCACGTCGGGCTCTGTGCTGACAGCTCTCTCTGCCCCTCCCTTGCTCACACTCTGTCTCTTTCTCTCTCTCTCTCAAAAATAAGTAAACATTAAAAAAAGAGAAAGTGTTTGCAACCATGAAGAGTTATGAAGTACCAAGTTCGTTTGAAAGTTCAATAATAAAGCAATTAACTAGGCTCCTACCTTACTCAATCCAGCAGTAAAGGTAAATGGGCTGCAGATACTCAAAATCCACTCCAGAGAGGAAGGGAGTTGTCTGTAATATGCGGCGAATCCCACGCCCCCCCAGAAGACAATGAGGAGAAACATAACCAAATTGGTGAGGACCGTTTTCTTTAGCAACACACTCATCAGGAACACTAAAGCTATCTGAAAGAGAGAGAAGACGTCTAGCCATTAAACAGCCATTACACAATAAATACGGATGTCTAGATCATAACATAAATATTTATCAGTGAGACGCTGATGAAGATATCAAGGCATCACAATGCTCAGTCCTTCCCTCAACCCCTTTGTAAAGAGGATCCTTATTTGCTCTCCTCAACTGCTAGGCATTAGTTGCTGAAGAAAGGGCAGGGGGAAAGCTGTGCGCGCCGAGGACAAGGATACACGTGCACGCTTGGAAACACCCAAAGAAACCATTAATGTCTTAAGAAAGGACACCTATGTACCCTCTCCAGGAAACACCCTGGGAGGTGGGGGGGGGGGGCGGTGTAGAGGCTCTTGCTTTATGAAGGAAGAGGGGTGACATGGGAAGAGAGGGCAAGATGGAGTGTCAGAGGGAGATACTGTGCAAGCCACCATGTTATGGGGAACCTTTGGGACGAAGAGACAGGTCCGCCCCTCAAGCGCATCCTCATGAACCATCTAGAAAAGTCTTAGAGTCAAAATATTTTTAGAGTCAAGGTTTTTTTTTCTTTTTGAGGCATCGTTGCATTAATGCAGACTTTATGCAAAAGAGAGGTCCAATTGTATTTCATACTAGATCAACTTCTCAACAACTCCTAGAGACTTTCTCAAGCAAGTACGCACACACCTGCACACAAAGCGGACACGAAGGAAATAACGAACTGTAATGACCTCCAGAGAACTTCATTTTTACTACATCTAGCTACGACCTAAAGCAGAGAACGTGGTAATAAATGTATACACTTACCAAGGACAAGCCGTATAAGAAGAAGAGTGTACATATGACCATGAAGCCTGTCATGACTATAATTTGGGTAGATGTTATGACAACTGTAATGATTATGGAAATAATGAAGATGAAGCCAGCATAGATTAAGCCCCAGGAGAGCCTAAAAGAAGACAAAAAGTTATTTCAATTATTTTAACTTCATTAGGAAATAGTTAAAACCTACCAAAAATCTAAAGAATGATACAATGTTTACCGTTCTATCTGCCTACTTAGATTAGTAACTAAAATGTTATTAATATTACATTGGTAGGGCTGTGCTGCTACCTCCTGGCTAAGCATCAGCTCTGCACCCACTTATTGTATAAATAGAATGAACACCTGCATACATGGCATCATCTTGTATGTGTTCTGCTGTTGCTCGTCTACATCAATGGACATATATTCATATTCATATTCATCAATGGACATATATTCACTGTTGTATAATAATATTTCATCATATGACTATATCCTAATGTTCTCCTGCCCATGGACTTCTAGGTTGTTCCAATTTTTGTCTCCAATTTTTATTTATTTGTTGTTGCCAAGACCACTCTCGTACTTATCTTTTTTGGGAAAATGCACAAAAGTGTCTCAAAGGGGTAAATGCTGAAGTAAAGAGATTAAGCTCTTTGTGCCTTCAGCATTATAACATATTACCGAGGTGTTCTGACTGTAGAAATGGGAGGGAATATAACTAAGCTGCTGATCATTCAGGGAACCACGGAAGCCCCGGGGGCAGAGGAGAATTGGACCGTTCTTGAGGATTTCAGCCGGCTGGACCTCCACGCTCCCTAGTAGTAGAAAACTGAAATTTCATAATTCCTCCAGGCCCATTCTTTTCTTGCTATTCCTGTTCATGTTTCCTTTTTTGAAAGCTGATATAAATGAGGGTACAGCCTTAAGTGCTCATTCTGTGTTGTTTTAGATGTGCTGGGGTTCGCATTTTTATCAGGTGGTTAGTAAGAAATAGTATTCAGTCTTAGATCTAAGAGGACCACACAAGGTGTTTGAGTCCGGGCTTCCTGTTTTACAGATAAGTAAACTGTAGGTCCTACTGTTACTTCATGGGCCTATTCAAGACCCACCGAGTAAATCAGTAGCCAAGCCCAGACGACAGTGCGAGCTCTGCTCAGTCCTCTTGCCCCTACACGAAATTGCCCAATTGAATAAGAATCCGGGGCGCCCAGGTGGCTCAGTCAGTTAAGTGTCCGACTTTGGCTCAGGTCATGATCTCGCGGTTTGTGGGTTGGAGCCCTGCTCTGGGCTCTTTGCTGACTGCTCGGAGCCTGGAACCTGCTTCAGATTCTGTG